GCCTCTGTGCACACCGAGCCCCACTAGTGCACACATGGAGAGGCTTGGTTCTGTGCCTGGCACAGGTGAATTTTGTTTTTCTGAGTTTGAGTTACTTTGCTTAATTTTGTCTGGAGTGATAGTGATTTTTCTGCACATTTCCCGATTTCCTTTTTACTCAGAGTAAAATCTGCTGTGTGTTTCCTGCTGCTGATTTATTCTTTTATTATCTATTTATTTGCTTTTTTGATGCAGGGTTTCACTTTATATCCCTCGTCCTGGAATTTGCTAGGTAGACCAAAGTGGCCTTGAACTCACAGAGATCCTCGTCTTTCAGCCTCCGTAGTGCTAGGATTAAAGGCTTTTGCCTCCATGTTGCACCTTATTTTTATTGTCCTCTCCGTGGTTGATGGAATCCACGCCAGTTCCATTCCCTTGCAGCTGTGAATCATGTCACTTTGTTAAGTTTCAAGCTTAGATTATGTTACAGTGTGTGAATTTCTGTTGAAATTCAGATGTGAGGTTGGAAGTTGAATCTTCATATATGTGTGCTGATGGCAGCCGTCTAGAAGAGAGGCAAGAATAGTTTTTCCTTGCCTAAGCAAGATGGTGGGAGCTGGAGGAGGGAGTTTAGTCTTGTGTGGATAGCAGGATAACCTTGAAACTGTGAATAATCTTGTTTTGTGTGAAATGTGAATTTAAGCTCAAAGTATAGATGTCCCACTGGAAGTCCAACTAGCATGACCCATAGTTGAGGAGAGAGTCACCTGTGGGCCATACCCATCACAAGTTGGACTGTTGGTGGTGGCAGCTGCAAAGATTCTTTTCTGATGTCTATTTGCTTGACAGTGCTGCCTATTCTGCCACAGGCAGGGGCGGGCAAATGAGGATGCTGTCAGTATTATCAGGAGAGAGTAGTGAGGGCTGTCCCCCAACTCCGTAGGAACACAGTGGAATGCAGCAGGAGGAAGCGAGATGGCACTCTTTACCCTTGACTGACTCCTCTAGGGGCCACTTTCCTTTGGGTCAGTCTGTCCACTTGGCCTATTTGACCATCCTCCTCCCCCTCAGCTTTAGGCATTTGTTGATTTAGCCCTTTTCCACCAGTTTCTGACAAGATTTTTCAGTTTTATGCTTCTTTTATTGAAGAGTAAAATGTAAGTTTTATGCAGTCATGTATCGTATAGGGACATTGTGTTCTTTTTTTCAATTAACCAAAAATACTTTATTTTATATTTTATTTTTTAAAAACCTTTTTTTATTTTACATACATAGTAATTTCAATTTCTTCTCCCTCTCCTCCTCCAGCTCCCCCCACTTTCTCCCATCCCACCCCCATCCATTCCTCAAAGAGAATGATCCTTCACATGGAGATTCAACAAATTCTTCCACATCACTTAAGTACAAAAGTCCTCCTCCCATGTGTGTAGGCTGAGCTCATTCCCTCCACACCGAATGGGCCCCAGAAAGCCAGTTCACCACCAGCGGCTCCACAAATTTCCCAAGCCACGCAACTGTCACCCACATTCAGAGGTTTTAGGTCGATCCTATGTAGGTTCCCCAGCTGTCAGTCCAGAGTCAGTGAACACCCATTGATGTGGGTCAGCTGTTATTATGGGTTTCCCCATCATGGTCTTGACCCCTTTGCTCATATTATCACTCCTCTCTTTCTACTACTGGACTCCAAAAGCTTGGCCCAGTGCCGTGGATCTCTACATCTGCTTCTATCAGTTGCTGGATGAAGGTTCTAATTGTCATCTAATGATGACGATTAAGGTAGTCATCAACATGCTTACAGTGCAAGGCCAGGTCATGCACCCTTTCCACTATTGCATAGATTCTTAGCTGGAGTCATCTTTGTGAATTCCTGGGAACTTCCCTAGTGTCAGGTTTCTTACAAAGCCCATAATGGTGCCTTCTGTCAAGATACCTTTTCCCTTGGTCTCCCTCTCTGACCTTGCCCCATCTCAACTTTCCCCATCCCTCATGTTCTCCTCCCCTCCCCCTCGTCTTTTCTCCGCTCCCCTTCCACCTTCCCCCATGCTCCCAATTTATTCAGGACATCTTGTCTACTTCCCCTTCCCATGCAGATTAGACATCTTGAAATTTGTAGGCAAATCTAGAAAACATCATATTGGGTGTGGTAACCTCAGAAAGACAAATATCATATGTACTCACTCATAAGTGGCTTTTAGACATAAAGCAAAGAAAAACCTGCCTACAGCCCACAATCCCAGAGAACCTAGACAACAAAGAGGACCCTAAGAAAGACACACATGGAGCTAATCTACATGGGAAGTAGAAAAAGACAAGATCTCCTGAGTAAATTGTGAACGTGGGGACCATGGGAGAGGGTGAAAGGGTGATGCCGCAGGGCAATTGGTAATGAAAAGTCCCCAGACTATCTTAATACAAAATATACAGCTTTAATAAACAGAAGTAAGACTTACAACAGCTTACACCAGAATTCAAACGATCCATCCAGGCGCAGGAGCCAGGTGAAAGAGAGAGCTAGAAGCTCGCTTGCTAGGTTTATAAGCAGGCTTTAGCCTGAGGGCGGCACGCCTCCAAA